CGTGGCTAGTTGGTCAGAGTCATTTCTGGAAGGTCCTTGCACTTACGACCAGTCCTCGCACTTACGACCCAACTCATTTGTTTGCTTTTAACACCGATCAGCTGTAGGGCAGCCCTTTGAAGCCCCGCGGCAAGAGTTTAAACAGTTTTTTTCCCTCTAGTCATCAGCTGGGACTCAGGAGGCAGCAATAGATTGAGGGTGGGACCAAATAAAAGGTAAGAATAACGTGGGGGTGGGTGGGAGGACCGGTTCGGTGATGTCATATCGTCACTGCTACCGGCTCGGCCGAACCGGACCGAACTGGGAGGAACCCACCACTGGCTTCCTGTCTGAACAGGGGGTTGGACTAGAAGCAAGCGTGAAATTTAGACGGTTCTATCCGTATCGCCCATTACGGTAGGGCCGACTGTGCGAAGCCCCGCCCACCCACGCGGACGTCATGACGTCTCTTTTTTGCAACGATTTTCAGCCTCTGCGCGGCACGTGCACATCTGCGAACCGGTAGGGAAGGTAAGTGAATTTCACCCCTGTCTAGAAGACTTCCAAAGTCCCTTTCAATTTACTACTTACTTACTTATTTATTTTTATTTATTTATTTTTAAAAATTTATATGCCACCCAACTGACTGTAAAAACCGACTCTGGGTTTTTAGAGTGTTTCCTGCAGTCCTTGATTTACGACCACAATTGGAACCAAAATTTCCCTTGCTAAGCAAGGCAGTGGTGAAGTGAGTTGCACCCGAATTTACAATCTTTTTTTTTTTGCCATAATTGATAAGTGAATCACTGTAGTTGTTAAGTAAATCATATGGTCATTAAGTGAATCCAACTTCCCCTATAGCTGGGAAAGTCGCAAATGGTGATTGCATGACCCTGGGACGCTGCAACTGTTTTAAGTACATGCCAGTTGCCAAGCACCTGACGCTTGCCCGTGTGACGATGAGGACACTGCACAGGTCGTAAGTGCGAGGACCAGTCATAGATCACTTTTTTTTCAGTGCTGCTGTAACTTGGAACAGTCACTAAACAAATGGTTGTAAGTTGAAGACCATTTTTTTTTCTCAGCCTTCAGCTTGCCAGCTCCAAACATCCATGCTTGACCGCTGAATGCAAACGGCATTGAGTAGGTAAAACAACCAGTTTTGCAAAAAAAATTGTGAGTTATGTTTTTATCCAGTTCAGAATCTGGTTTCTTTGTTTTTTTGTTACAGAGTCGTGAATCTACAAGGGAAGTCAACAGGCTGACTCAAAAACATCATCCCAACAAACAATAACAATAACACATTCACTGCAGTGGTGAAATCCAATTTTTTTTTTACTACCGGTTCTGTGGGCGTGGCTTGGTTGGCGTGGTGTGGTTTGGTGGGTGTGGCTTGGTGGGCGTGGCAAGGTTATACACCCCCACCCCACTCCAGGGGAAGGATCCTGCAAAATCCCCATTCCCTCCCCACTCCTGGGGGGAAGGATATTGCAAAATCCCCATTCCCACCCCACTTTGGGGCCAGCCAGAGGTGGTATTTGCCAGTTCTCCAAACTACTCAAAATTTCCCGCTACCGGTTCTCCAGAACCTGTCAGAACCTGCTGGATTTCACCCCTGATTCCCTGCCAGGACCAATGGAGGGTCTCCTTTTAAAAGGCTCCTGGGGTGAATAGCACTTATTCCGAGTCTTAACTCTTTGATATTTTTTCCCCTCTCCTCTACCAAGGAGTTGTGCAGCTTGCTGTTTTCTGACAGCGTAGCAGAAGCAATTAACAGAATTGCATAATGTTAAGTAAGAATGGGGTGGTGAAGAAGAGACACGTATATCGTACAATTAAAAGTGTCAGGAAAATAGATGGAGTAGGGTATCTGAACATGGGGAAAACTGTCTTGAGACAGACTGATCAATGCTATAATTACTGGAAAGAGTAGCTTACGATGTTGTGGTTCATCAGAATCCAGATTGGAGAATCCCCCTGTATATGAATTTAAATTTTCCCACCTTTTATGGCATTTAAATAAGCTGAGTTTACTTCTGAAATATGCATGATTATCAATGCTTCCATTGGAATTTACACAGCCCATATTAAAACTAGCCCGCTACCTGGGTTCAAATTGCACATTAATCTAAATTAAGATTGGCTATTCTGCTTAGTTTTTAAAATCAGACGAGGTTGGGTGGGAGCTGCCAGCCATGAGGGCTATGTAAAATGTAATATTATTATCAATTTACGATTATCGTAGACAATGTGATGTTGCACTCAGCCTTCCTGAATTAGATGGCTTTTCTTTGTTTTGTTTTACAGGGTTACTAAGGGAAGATGACACATGCTTTTCTAAAAAAAAAATCAGGTGAAACTGACCAGAATCCTGTCTGTTTCCTTTTAAAATCCAAGATTCAGGAAGAATGTAAAACTATGCTCCTTCCTCCTTCCCTACCACCCTTCTTTTTTCCTTTCCTTTCCTTTCCTTCCCTGCCTTTCTCCAATCTTTCCTCTCTCCCTCCCTCCTTCCTCTCTCCCTTCCATCCTTCTTTCTTTCCTTCCTCCCTCTCTCCCTTTCCATCCTCTTTCCTCCCTCCCTCCTCCCATCCTTCTTTCTTTCCTTCCCCCTCTCCCCTCCTTCCATCCATCCTTTCCTCCCTCCCATCCTTCTTTCTTTCCTTCCTCCTTCTCTCCCCTTCCATCCTTTCTTTCCTCCCATCCTTCTTTCTTTCCTTCCCCCTCTCTCCCCTACCATCCATCCTTTCCTCCCTCCCTCCCTCCCATCCTTCTTTCTTTCCTTTCCCCTCTCTTCCCTCCTTCCATCCATCCATCATTCCTCCCTCCCATCCTTCTTTCTTTCCTTCCCCCTCTCTTCCCTACCATCCATCCTTCCTTCCATCCTTTCCTTTCCTTTCCTCCCTCCCATCCTTTTCTTTCCTTTCCCCTCTCTCCCCTCCTCCCATCCATTCCTCCCTCCCTCCCTCCCTCCCATCCTTCTTTCTTTCCTTCCTCCCTGTTCTCCCAACTGAATGGCAAAACAGTAGACCTTCCTTTTTCTTTTTTTCTTTAAGCAAGTGAAATTGACACGAGTTTTGTCAATTTCCCCTTTTAGCCAAATAAAGAACCGCGAAGGGGTTTTCCCTTCCTCCCTTCCGCCTTGGAAACACACCAGCCAGGAAAGGTGTAAGGAAGGCGTTTCTAGCAAGCAGCCGGTGGAGGGAGACTCACACAAAAGATCTCTTCGTGGGAAACCCGGGGCTCTCAAACCCCAGAGGCTCAGGCTTGTTTTCCCAGTGTGGACGTGAAGTTGCCCTTCACGGATGATTCCGGACTTACGTACTTTCCGTCAGGCCCTCAAAACCTTTTTATTTCATCCAGTCAGGCTGGCCTAATCTCTCCAATTGTGTATTTTAATTTGGATTTTAATGGGGGATTTTAACTGTCGGGCCAAATTGTTTAATTCATTTTTAAATTGTTTTTATATTTTGTATTTGTTTTTTTTTTTACTTCTGGCTGTTCATCGCCCTGAGTCCTTCAGGAGAAGGGCGGTATATAAATTTAAATATTAAATTAAATGAATTAATTTTTTTAAAAATTTGATTTATATGCCGCCCTTCTCCGGAGACTCAGGGCGGCTTACCAATGCATTAAGCAATAGCCTTCATACTTTTGTATATATATATATATATATATATATAATTTGATTTATATGCCGCCCTTCTCCGGAGACTCAGGGCGGCTTACAATGCATTAAGCAATAGCCTTCATACTTTTGTATATATATATATATATATATATATTTAATTTGATTTATATGCCGCCCTTCTCCGGAGACTCAGGGCGGCTTACAGTGCGTTAAGCAATATTTTATACAAAGTCAGCTTATTGCCCCCACAAACTGGGTCCTCATTTAACCTACCTTAGAAAGGATGGGAGGCTGAGTCAACCTTGAGCCTGGTGAGATTTAAACTTGCAGTAATTGCAGGCAGCTGTGTTAATAACAGTGTGCTTTAGACCACTGTACTATTAAATTACATTAAAATTAAATTAAATTAAATAAATACTATTAAATTAAATTAATTAAAGTAAAAGCAAGGGAATCGACGAATGAAGGAATGGGGGGAGGGGATAAAAAACGCAGAGAAGAGTGAAGGCCAGGTCTTTCCCACGGCCAAGATGAAGGGATGGGGGTTGCCATCTAGGTCAAAAGATCTGAGACAGCTTCATTTTCCCACCCAGCCTACAAAAAGGGGCCTGGTGGCTCAGCAGACTGATAGCATTGTGATGAACACCAGCTGTCTGCAATTGCTGTAAGTTCGAATCTCACCAGGCTCAAGGTTGACTCAGCCTTCCATCCTTTCTAAGGTAGGTAAATTGAGGACCCAGTTTGTGGGGGCAATAAGCTGACTTTGTATAAAATATACAAAAGAATGAAGGCTATTGCTTAACGCATTGTAAGCCGCCCTGAGTCTCCGGAGAAGGGCAGCATATAAATCAAATTTAAAAAAAAACCTCAATCCAGGTTAATTCTGCAGAGGAGACACCAGAAGGAAAAGACCCCAAGATCGCCACAAATTCTCGTCCCCAAAACCTCAGGACCCGCAATGAAAGTGGGAGCAGCAACCCCCGCTTTCTCCAGACCTGGATTTATCTATCTATCTATCTATCTATCTATCTATCTATCTATCTATCTATCTATCTATCTATTGTTTTGTTTTGTTTTGTTTTGTTTTGTTTTGTTTTATTTTATTTCTATACCGCCCTACACCCGGAGCGGTGCACAGCCAAACAATAAAACACATACATACAAAATTTAAAAGTAGAATAAAATCAAATCAAATAATGCAGCTCTCTCCCTCCTTCCTCCTCCTTCTCCCCCTCCTCCTCCCCCCCTTCCCCCCCCACTGTCTCCTCCTTGGATGGAAACTACATTTCCCAGGACCCATAGCGCCTCTCCTTCTTTTCCTTCTTTTTTTATTTTTTTATTTAATTAAAGCGATGCACGTGGCTCGCCGGGCGGAGCTGGGAACGTCACATTCCTGCATTCTCCTCGCCTGTGTCAGAGGAACCCGGGTTGCGTCGGAACGGGGCTGCTGGTGCTGCTGCTGAGGGGAAAGAAGGGACCTTCAAACCCCCCCCCCCTCCACTCCCTCACATCGCGAACCCTGCTTTCTCCCTTCACCCCCCAGCCCCATATCTTCCACCATCCCCCCCCTCCCAATGCCCCTCCAGGGCGGCGTCTGATCCCGGGATCCCTGCCCGATTTCCTCGGCGCCCAGCCATCCTCTTCCTCCCGGGACTCTCGGCCAAGGTAACCCTGCTTTTGGGAGGGGAGGGGAAGGGAGGGGGGGATGTCTTTCTCAAGCCAATTTTTTTTGGGGGGGATGGGGGTCCCCAGGGGTGCAGAGATGGGGGGGGCTGTGCAGGTGGGGGAGTTGGGGGCGCGCGGGGGCTGCCCGCGATCCAAGCGGGTGCAGTCAGTGAGTCCCCCCCCTCTTTTTCCTTTCTTTCCCCCTCCCTCCCTCCCTGTGTGTGTGTGTGTGTGTGTGTGTGTGTGTGTGTGTTGCTGCGAGGCTCCGGAGGCGACCCAAGGAAGGTAGCCCCCCTCACCCCCCCCCCCCACTTCTCTCTCTCTCTCACCAGCCCGGCGGCTCCTGTGTTGTCGTGGCTGGCGGGGCGGGGCGGGCGGCGCGCTTCCCTTTGTTTTGCGACCGACCGCCGGGATACAAAGTTGCCTCTGGATCGCTCGCTCGCCTCGCTTCCCCGGGAACCAGGTGCGGGAAAGCGGAAGGCCAGATCGGAGAAGGAGGGAGGGGGAAGAAAAAGGGGGGGGGGAGAAAAAAAAAAAAAAAGAAGAGGCCGCGACCCCCTTTTCCTCCCCCCGCCCAACACCTCCAGCCTTCCTCCTCCTCCTCCTCCTCCTCTCCAACCTGAGTTTGTTTTGCTTTCCTTTTTATTTGGCTTTTTATTTTTATTTTATTTATTTTTTTAATTAAAGGCTCCTCTGCGGGTCTTCTTTCTCTCTGCCTGCCTGCCTCCCCCCCCCAAATCCTTGCGATTGTTTGTGCAAATCAGTCCCGCTTTCTCCGCTTCTCTTCCCCACCTCCCCACCCCTTGCGGTTTCCCCCCAAACCCGGGCAAAATCCCCAGCATGGTTGGTTGGTTGGTTGGTTGGTTGGGCCTGGCGGAGGTCAGCCCTGGGAAGAAAACGCATCATTCCGACGCACGAAGATCCTCCGGTGGGGCTGTGGAGGGGAGGAAGGAAAGAAGGAAGGAAGGAGGGGAGGAAGGAAGGAAGGAAGGAAAAGGAAGAAAAGAAGGCAGGGAGAAAGGAAGGAAGGAAGGAAGGAAGGAAGGAAGGAAGGAAAAGGAAGAAAAGAAGGCAGGGAGAAAGGAAGGAAGGAA